ACAAATTCTACTTTTTCCTAAGTTTTTCCTGTTTACAGTTTATGGTAGTATAAGTGTGTCATGCTGCACTAAAGACCCTGTCTCTACAAAGTTGTGCTGTTTCCATGGAGGTGCAGGACTTCATATTGAGCCCACAGTGATTAAAAATGTGACAGAAGCAAAAAAAAAGACACCCAGAAACTGTTTGGAGTTTTAAAAAACTTTTGAACAGCGCAGTTGTAATGTTTTGTACCTACAGTACTCAAGTGACCAGTAACATATAACATGATTCCTCCTCTCCTCTCCTCTCCTCTCCTCTCTTTCTCTTTCTCTTTCTCTTTCTCTTTCTCTTTCTCTTTCTCTTTCTCTTTCTCCCCCCGTGTCCTGCTCTGTGCCGTCAGACCCTGAAGCAGCTGGATGTGTTCGAGTGCCACGGCCCCCGAGGGGTGAGCTGTCTGGGTACGACTCAGGAGGGCGCCCGCCGGCTGCTGCTGGTTGGATCGTATGACAGCACCATCAGCGTACGAGACGCCAAGAGCGGCCTGCTGCTGCGCTCGCTGGAGGGCCACACCAAGACGGTGCTCTGCCTGAAGGTGAGGAAGTGGGAGCTGCTCTTTTCTGTGTCCATGTGGTGAAGCTGGATGATGGCTGTTGAGGTGACGTGAGAAGGGATTTGTCTCTGCTGTTTCTCATTTGGTTTAACACTGACACCCACATCCAAAATGTATATATATTTTTTGGATGTCATTCAGATCTGGTTTTCCACTTGTCATACAGAGTCTTTGGTGGCAAGACGCTGCCATTAGAGTTCTTGTTTTTGCTCAGTATCATTCTCTTTGGAGCTGAAATGTTTCCATCCAACCCATGCTGCATTTTTTTTTTGCAACCAAAGCTTTCTGTTCAGTGTTTCTCTTCTGTTCTGTGCTGATTTTGCTGTGCACATGTTGATCCTGTACATCCACATACTCTGTGTCTATTAAAGAACAACTCGGTGTATCAAAGAACCCGTAAGTCAGATTAAATTATGTTTAATCAGATGGACTTCTCTTGTGGACTAGTCATGCAGAGTAAGAGCTGTGTAAGCTTTCTCTTCTGTAGCATGATGTGTTTGAGTTAACTTGCACATTGCAGTGTCAGTGCTAGAGCGATGTATTGTGCAGCCCTAGTTGCGCCTCAGAGAAGGTGATTCTGCACCACATAGCGTGATGAGGTTCATGTTGTCTACTCTGATTATAGGTATACGGTTTCTTTTTTTATTGGACAGTGAGTATTTTTTAGACAGGAGCTGCTTTGACATGTTTCGACTGTTTCTTCAGTCGTCCTCAGAAGCGTCACTGATGTCTGTGGTGACGTGTCTTCATCAGCTGGTGGTTTCCTGGAGGCGTGACCCGCCTGGCAATCTGTCAGATTTGCCCGACGGGCCACACCTCCCGCCCCCCGGTGGTCTCTGCAGGAGAGCGTCCCATGCGTGGGACAGCATGAACGCCCCCTCATCACGGTTCATGGTGTCTTTGGCTCAACTCCTGATTTCTGTGGCCTTCTTGATCCAACGTTTAAACTTGTTGCTCTCCGATGCGATGATCTTTGTGTTGTGCCGGTCTATGATGTGGTTGTTTCTTCTGCAGTGGTCTGATACGGCTGATTTTAGGTTCACTCGGTGCACCACACAGCTGAGTCGAAAAGATTATTTCCTTTTCCATTCTGTTTAGAAAACACTACTTTTGTCTTTTGGATTCGACGCTACAGATTATCAGACATCGCCAGTGTGACTAAACATGATGTTTATAAAATCTGAATTATGTAAATGGTTGGGATTTTTTTTTTAAATGTGAGAGAAAATGACTGCAGTTTGACTTGTATTTGGTTTGATGTGGGCTTTTTTTTTTTTTTTTTTCAGAAATCCTGTTTTGTGCGTCAGGTGTAGTTAATTTCTCTTCCTTTGCTGTTTTCAGGTGGTGAACGACCTGGTGTTCAGCGGCTCCAGTGACACGTCCGTGCACGCCCACAACATCCATGTAAGAGCTCCAGACTAGCAGCATAAATACGTACAAACCATCTATAAGGAGGTCTGGGTTCGTGTTCTGATTATGTTTCGTGCTTTCACTGTCGTCCTCCATCGCTGTTTGCAGACGGGCGAGTTGATTCGCATCTACAAGGGTCACGGTCACGCCGTCACGTCGATTGTCATCTTGGGGAAAGTGATGGTAACAGCCTGTCTGGACAAACTGGTTCGAGTCTATGAGCTGCAGGTATGTCTGACTCGACTGATGTTTGTTTCAGAGTTAGTTGTGTCAGAACAGATGACTAGTGTTATGTTTTTTTGTTTTAAAGGAACAATTCAACCATCTTTTATTTGGTTCTTAACCCTTCCGACACCGTAGCCCACTCTACCGGGCTGGCATCACGACTCCTGTTCGACCCTGCAGCCCGGTACAGCGGCTCCGGTGTACGGCGGCTTTCTGTTACGTTCATTTTGATTGGCTATCAGCGGGAATCCCTGCATGTGAACAAGCGATTCAGTCATGAAATAAATTATACAAATGAAGTGAAGTGACGTCATTCGACCCCAAAAATCACCAGAAAACTGGATTTTCTCTACCTGAAATGTTTCTAAGCGATCAAAACAAACTAATTACAGACTTCAGCTGATGTCTCAGTAACAAGAACTGATAATTAATTACACATATCTCTGGTAATTATGACATTTACCTGTTCTTTTTCCACACCTGTATGTACACGACAAGAGTAAACTTCTATTTATATTTAACCGTTAACTCGTCTACTTTTGATTGATAGCAGATGTGTAATGATGTGACGTTGACTTAAGAGTTTATGATGATTTATGTGATTAATCAGAACCACATCTGATCACGAATTTCAAGCCAAAGCTACTCAGTGTTGAAGTGTATAAAGAATACACATTTACTGAGTGTTGGAAGGGTTAAATGTTCAGAGAAAACATTGAATTTTCTCAACTTAAGGTCTTAAATCAACCACAGTATACTACACTGTACTTGTGTAAATATCTTTAATCCAGTGTCAAATACACAAAACAGGTTTTTTGCCTTTGCTACTGGTCTACAACTATGACTGGAGTTCTTGTCAAAGGTCTCTTCCTTTGGTTCCAGTCTTCATTTGAAAACATTTTACCTTCCTTATCTACACATACTTCAATGCTCTGGACCTAAACTCTGCTGTAAATCTGTCCTTTTCTAAAACTCGATATTTCTTTTTTTCAGTCCCATGACCGCCTGCAGGTCTACGGAGGCCACAGCGATATGGTGATGTGCATGTCTGTACACAGGAGTGTGGTAAGTGGATCAGAACTGGTCCAGGTGTGTTTTTTCTATGTGAACTTGCATGGAGAAGGTTCACACAGGATAATACGGATGGATGCTTTTAAGTTGTGTATGTACCGTTGATGTTTCCACACAGATCTACACGGGCTGCTACGACGGCAGCGTTCAGGCCGTAAAGCTCAACTTGATGCAAAACTACCGCTGCTGGGTAAGAATGATCTTATGATCTAGGAGCCTTGTTTCTAACCTACTTCTTCTTGAAGATATTTTAATAGTTGTGCTTTTTTGTTTGTCCAGTGGCAGAACTGCTCTCTGATCTTCGGCATCTCGGACCATCTCGTCCAGCACCTTGTTGGAGATCACACCAACCCCAGCTTGCAGACGGTCAAGTGTCGCTGGAGAAGCTGCGACGCCTTTTTTCCCACACGGCAGTCGGTTAAAGAGGTGATGAGTCATGATAGTGTTAGCTCAGTGATGAGTCATGATACTGGAGTCGGTCAAGGATTGGAAGGTCGGCGGTTCAATTCCGCCCTGTACCCTGTGTCATGGTCGTGTCCTTGGGCAAGACGCTTACCACCTTGCCTGGTGTGAATGAATGGATTGTCTGAGGTGGTGGTCGGAGGGGCAGAATGGCAGCCACGCCTCTGTCAGTCTGCCCCAGGGCAATCGTAGCTACCACCACCGGGATGAATGTGTGTGAATGAATTGACAGCGTGAAGCAACTTTGAGTTAGAAAAACGCTACATAAATCTGATCAATTATTCTTATTAGCTAGGTCATGTGGTCTCTAGTCAGTGTTTTCTGATTTCTACATGCGTGTTTCATTTGGGCCTCTTTCTAAGAAAACATTTCCTCCGCTTGGTTTTTCCTGCAGGAGCTGCCCGAACACATGCAGAGTCACGTGACGAGCGACAGCGAGATGCAGCCCTGACAGCAGCGGAGGTCACGTGATGGAGACTCATCCATCGCAACACATGAGCTCATCTTTTTGTTTACTAATATTTTCATTTTTGGTTATATAGAAACACAAGATTCAGGGTTTGGCTGATCGTATCCCTTTAGTCTTGTGTGAACTGTATAACCTTTGTTTCCTCAGACGGGAAAGGCAACTCGTTTTTGATCCCACACAACGATTTCCTGCTGCTGGTAGGATCACGTTCATTTCATTTTTCCCCATTAGTTATGTGAAGCCATCTGCTATCAGTAATTCAGCTCTATCTACTGAGTACAGTGATTCCAGGGTGTTTCCTGTGTTGAAGAATGATAGCGCCCCCTAGAGAAGCTTCAGCAGGAGCCAAAGCTAATGCATGTTTTTTCCATTGGGGTTCAATTACTCACGCGTAGTAGACATTATTGTTTATTAGATTATATGAAATTAACAGGAAAATGCATCATTAACATGTAGAACCCAGGAAATGTTCCCTTTCCCTTTATAGTTTTGTCCAACACATGTTTTAAACCAAACTCTGTGATGCTGTATTAAACTCATGCCTTAATTTTTGTATATTGTACAGTCTGTACTTCATTTGTTTAATACCTACTGTATGTGTACAGCGAATAAACGGACAATAATTTACAGCGTTCACCTCCGCTTTATTTTAAAAACAATATACATTAAGTATGTCTGTAAAGATTTCTGGAACAAAACGCTCATTCGTTTTCTTTCACAGCACCAATCATCAAATTCAACTCTTCAGCGCTGCAGAGCCGAGAAAACTGATTTATTTATTTTTTTTAATCTTTGAAAAGATTTCAAACTAAAGTTGAGCTTCAATTCAACCATGAATACCTGAGGGATGACTGAAAACTAAATATAATACAAGAGAAGCAATGAAACCTCTCGTTTTCACATCACGAACCCGCTGTTCACGCCACACCTGTGCAAAAATACGTTTTGATTTCTGTCGTGACAGAGTCACACGACGAGAAGTTGCTTTAGGAATACATGGTCAGCTGAAGCCACTGGAAAGAGAGCAAAAGAAAAACGATGATTAGCTCAAAGGGTTTTATTTTAAACGTAGAACAACAGTCCTGCTTGTTTCGACTGCTTTTGTGAAAGTTAATTTTCAGATTTTTGTGTGAGAGGTGCTGATTCAGCTCTGGGAAATACTACTTTAGAATTACAAGGTTTGGGATTTTTTTTATGTTTCATCGTAGGAATGAGGTATTATCTGTTTAACAAGGGGCTAATTTGAAAATGAATTTCCCGAACAGACGTCTGGATGAAGCCACGTTCAGAATCCCTGCTTCGTTTCTTGACACATATCAAAGGCTTTTATTTCTTTTTGTGGTCTCCATAAATCAGAAAATACTGTCGACAGAAAGACAGGATCGGTTCTCACCACGTTTTTAGGAATAAAATGTAAAAAAAAATCAGGCTACGACTCAACAACCCCCCTCTGCAAAAATCTTTAAAATATAGGTTTGAATAAAACTGGAAAGTTCGGTGTGTGTCAGTGTGACTTAAGCGTGGATTTCTGGCTCAGAGTAAAATAAAAATCTAAATTTGCGAAAACAGTCTCCATACACTGAATTGGAAATGCCTATTCACAAGTATATTTTTTAAAATTAGTTTTTAATGAATTTGAACTAATAGACACCTCTAGTTGATTTTTTACTTTAAGACAATTATTATTTTGTATAACAAGTTTTCTGAAATTTCACGTTTAAACATTCTAACGAGATTTGATTTTATTTTGCATTAATTTGCACAAATATCAAAGAGAAAAATATTTAGCAAAATAAACACCTGTGTGTGTTTTTCCTGACATTTGCCCCTAAAGGCTGTTTGTAATGTTATGATGTGAATCAAGCCAGTAAAACATTAGAAAACCCCGTCACACACTCATTACAAACAGCTTTTAAAGCAGGTGGCAGAAACCTTTGAGAGTTTTTCGTCAGACTAATACTTTCATACTTCAGGACACAGAGCGGCATGCTGTGACTCACCTCCAGGACGTTGAGCTTTATGATTCCATCTCCGTCTTTGTCAAAGGCATTGAAAGCTCCTGCAAGAGACACAGCAGATGATCCCTCAGTCTGCTCATGTTATCTCTGAATTCATGCAGTCGGATAAGTCTGCAATCACTGGTGCCTGTGAGCCTCCTGAGAGTCACACAGAGTGCTCAGTTTATGAATCATCTGTAGAATAAAAACTGTCCTGTGAAAGCATGTGTGACCACCAACCCCTCACACGTTGGACTTGTACAACGTCATTCAGCTGATATAACACACAGAAAGCCCTCAGGTGTGGTTTGTACTCACTGAACATGCCCTCCAGTCTCACAAAGCAGCAGATGTAACTGTCGAAGTCGATGTTGAGGTGTTCGTCCGCGTAGCGCATGGCTATGATGTCGTACAGCTGTTTGTTGAGGTGAAGCCCTGGTGTGGAAAAGAAGATCATATTTACAGCATTCTTGTATGTCCATTACAAACAGAGCTGAAGAAATGCTTTAATACAGATCAGCTCCAGGAAAACACGTCCTCTGAGTGGTTGTGATTTGAGTGGTTGCTGCTCACCTGCATCGTTCACGGCGTTCCTCATCTCGAAGCTGCTGATGGAGCAGGACTTGTCTTTATCGTAACGTTTGAAGATGACCTGCGAGGAGACACTCAGTTAGATGAATTCTTGTGAGCAGAAGTTAGCGGAGGAACCGTCCTACCTGCCACTCCTTGATCTTTCTCCACAGGTGTTTGAACTCCTGCAGATTCAGCTTCCCTGTGCCGTCAGTCTGAGGGTGGAGCAGTCAGGGGACAATGACATGCTTGTGGAGTTTTATTTTCACATATTTTTTTTGCCCTGCCATTTAAAAAGAAAAGGTCAAGTTTGAAATAAATGCTGCCTCAAATGACACTTTGGCATCTGCTCCCCAAAAAGACTGATTTTTATCTTCTTTACAGTAAATATGTTGCTGATTAACAAAAGAGAAAAAAGCAAACCAACCTTTATAGATAGACAGTGAAAATGATTCCTGCTTTTTTTCTTGCCAACATTTTATAGCATCTGTAAACTGCTGCAACACAATACAGTCCTGCACTCATCTGTCTGACTGTGGGGAAGCTTGTGCATCAATTAGAGCGATTAAAAACGACATATTTTGCCTGTTTTACCACCAATAATAACTCATCTCTGCAGCTCTTTTGTCCGCTCTACAGATTCAAAGGATACGTCCATCAAGGCGATCATACTCCGGCACGTCTCCAGGCTGAAGCCTTCCGTCTTTATTTCGCTATCTGTGAAGGAGGAGTCGTTAACGTGAACGCTCAGAACACGAGGAGCCTCATCTTTTCGCTGTACTCACGTTTGGCGAGCACGTTCCTCATGACGGTCTTGAGCTCGTTGGCGCAGATCTGCATGTCCTGATTGAGGGAGGAAGAGTTTGTTCCACGTTAGTTTCAAATAAAACATTCACACGTGAACGACATGCACGTCTCTTTGGTTACTCACCTCACCAGCAATCTGCTGGTAGATGGCCCTGAACTGTTTTTCCTCCTCGGTCTCTTCCTCGGGTTCCAACAGTTTTCGCTGAAGGACGGATGAGAAAACAGGACTACTTTATCTGATGCGTCTTTGTTTCTCCATTGCTGTTGCATTTGGCTACTTCCTGTCTATGTGGCACAACAACCTGGAGCATTTATTCATCAATCAGGTGACAGCTCGGCTACTTCAGGCCTGCTGGGATTTCACTCCAGCTTTCTATTTCTGTTCATTGTAGTTTTGTTTTGTTCGGAAAAGATATCACCAATGGGAAACACATGTCAAGAGGCCAACACTGACCCAAGATACAGTCACTGTGTTTTTAGTTTGTCGGATCAGTACAAAGCCCCAGAACATCCATCCATCATCTCTACACCTTAATCCTCAGTAGGGTCGTGGGGGGCTGGAGTCTATCCCAGCTGGCTCAGGGTGAAGGCAGGTTCACCTGGACAACATGTTTTTGTACTGGAGGCTGAATGTGACTCCATGGTTAGCACCTTTGCCTCACAGCTAGAGAGTCGCTGGTTCGAACACCCGGGATCTTTCTGCGTGGAGTCTCCATGTTCTCCCTGTGCAGCGTGGGTTCTCTCCGGGTTCTCCGGCTTCCTCCCACAGTCCACAAACATGCTGAGGTTAATTGGTGATTGTAAATTGTCCGTAGGTGTGAATGTGAGTGTGCTTGGTTGTCTGTCTCTAAGTGTAGCCCTGTGATAGACTGGTTACCTGTCCAGGTGAACCTGCCTTCACCCTGAGTCAGCTGGGATAGACTCCCGCCCCCCGTGACCCTGGTGAGGATTAAACGATGGATAGATGATGGATGTCAAGAAGCCAACATTGACCCAAGATGTAGTCACTGTGTTTTTAGTTTGTCGGGCCGAAATGTGGATCAGTACGGAGCCCCAGAACATGGAGAAAGTAAAAAAAACAGGGAGAGGAAAACAAAAAAATAGAGATATCTTTTGCAAGATCTCACAAAACTTTTGCGAGATCTCGCAATAACTACAGGTATACATAGTTCTGGGTCTATTTGGCAGTACGGAGAAACGATAACGGAGGACACTCACCCGTACGAGAGTTTTAATGAGTTTTATTTTGAAATTGGCCTAAAACATAAAGACATTCAAGGCGTGTTTAGCAGAGGCACAGTTTTCACATACGCGAGAGACATCTGAAAAGGATACTCAGCGTAAGGGGACACACTCTGACCGTGCTGATACTACCGTCCTCTGGAATGCTTCATGGGTCCTGATGGGATTTGCAAGATCTCTCAAAAGATACCTCTATGTTTTTTTTTCCTCTCCCTGTTTTTTGTCCCTTCTGCGGTTCCGTAGAAAACAAGGCTCGCTGATTCAGTATCTTCTTTTAAATCACTTATTCAAACCCCCTTTTATAGACTCATGTTCTCTTTTATTTCTCTTTTAGGTTTTCGCCCGTTTCTTACTGCCTGCTGTCCTTCTCTCTTTTCTCTTTCTTCATCTACTTTTATCTTCAGCTTTTATCTTAATTCCCCTCTGTGATGTCGTCTTTTTAATCAGTCTTACTAGTTTCATTATAATAAACCTTCCAGTAGTGACCCAGCCTGTTGTTTTTCATTTTTATTGTGTGTATTTTTATATTCTGAGTGTTTGCCTGCACTTTTTATACATGCTGTTGTCCTGCGTTGCCTCGTCTCTTTATTATGTAAAAGCACTTTTGCTATACAAATAAAGTTTATTATCATTGTTATAATGATTCATTAAATCTCAGTGATCTTAAACACTCAGTGGCTTCTTATTAGGTATACATCTATTGCAGTCCTATGCACCATCCCTGCCTCTGCATCTACTTTTATAAAGCTCATAACAGCCACTCATATTGCTCTAAATGTGTAAATCCAGTCCTCTGTGAGTTAAAGTAATAGTCAAAGCTGATGTTCTTCTTCCCGTCTCTCATTTACATAGAGAGGCAGAACATTAGACGCCTTTGTATTTAACGTACTAAAACGTGATTTAATTTACACCCTCATGACTGTTTCATGCACCATAAACGCAGAGTTTACAGCAGGAGAGACTGCGTTAAACCACACAGGCGTTCCTAATAAAGCGGCCGCTGAATGCAGGCCGGATGATTTGGTTTCACGAACATGTCAGAGCAGCACATTGAAGGCTGCTCGACTGAGGCCTGACGGGAAAACAGGTGCAGCGGAGTTACTTGAGCTCAGTTGCCTTCCAGCGCTATACTTTTATTCCCAGCAGCGTTTTATGAGCTGGTAAAGATTACGTTTCATCGCTGTCGCAGGGCGCAAATTTCAACGGAGCAAAGGTCACGATAGCTCAATGTTTTGGCTCGATGACATCGCTCTACCTGCACAGGATCGGCAAAAAGGAAATCACCTTTGGTTTCTTCCTCTTCTCCCCCAGAATGCCGTCGTGCTCGATTTCCTTATTGGCTCGCGCTCTGTCTGACACAAATACAATAGGCTGGCATGTGGTGGTTATAAAAGACAAACAGAACAGAGGAGAAATCATTAGTTCCCAGTTGTCCCACTGATTATAATCTGTATATTCAATAGAGGCACAAACTACAGCTGCTGATAGGTGGATGGAGAGCAAAGGTGGGGAAGCAAAGAGTTTCAAAGCAGACTAGCAGCGCTTCGTGCATTCATTACCTTCTCTTTCTTAATCTTGTCTTGCTGATGGCCAATAAGACAAGGAGGGACAGAAGGGTGAAATGAGATGAAACGGAGGAGGAAACACTCGAGTCTGTTAGTTATTCTGAGTGGTGTGCATTAGGACAAGACGGAGAGATCTCAAGAACAAAGTTGATGAAACATGGAGGTCACACAGTCGGGATTTACAACATTTTAAATTCTATTTGATGTTGCAGCGTGGGAGCGTGCTGCAGAATACTGCTGAAGGAAACGTGGATCTGAAGAGTCTGTAGCTACAGGCGCCCTCAGATTTATTAATCTCCTTCCATTAAAGAAAAGACAAAATTCACAACAGTCACTGAAATAAGTAGAAACTGAAAAAGTAATAATAAATAAAAATTTGCTAAATTATAATTCAGTGAAACAACACATTGCTTTTGAATTGTGGTGGAAAATAATAATTTAAAAAATTTTAAAAACTGTCAAAGTCTGACTGAGAGCTACAGAAAACATTTACGGGTCCCATCATGCTTGTTTGCTTGATTTTGTTTGTTTGTTTTTAATATTTCTGTTGAACCATAATTCAAAAGCAATGTCATGACGTTCATTACATTTTTATTTATTATTACTTTTGTCAACTTATTTCACTGACATCTGAGGACGACTGCACAGCCTCGATTTTAGTATTAATCACTTCTTTGTGTTAAGCTTAATCTAATGTACTGTCACATCTGATCCAAGTAGTGCTTCCTCATTTGCTTTATTTCCCACAGTACACACAGTTTTGCAGCAACATCAGCCAGAATGCAAAAAAATATATTTCAACCCCAACATTTCTACCATCTCGCTGCAAACCTGTATTTGGTCGGATCCGATGGAGCTCTCTGCTTCCCTGTTCAGAAAAAAACACACAATAACTCTGCTGTAATTTATTCTTTAGAGCATATCTATGTGTTTGCAATGCTCCCCAACAATCCCCAGAGTAGCTACCGGCGTCCCTCCCTCCCTCATCCTTACTCAGACGTGCTCCTCTTCTCAGAGAACACCCTGAGGATGAACTCTCCGTCCTGGTGGGACTGAAACGTGGTGGGGATGATGACGTACTCTCCGGGAGGCAGACGGAAACGCTCCGTCACCTCCCGCAGGTTGATGTAGGTTTTGCATTTGGCCTTGGAGGCTGTGTAGAGGAAGAAGTCCTTCTGCAGGTGCTGGTTCTGTCCACGCATCTACGGATGGAGGAGTTGAAACAGGACGGAGAGGGAATGAGCTCTGCATTCAACTAAAGCTCATAGCTGTATGATTGACTGCAAAAGTAATATAATGTAGAGAAAAAGTGGTTATTAAGCAAATATGTTAAATATTGGCTGGTTCTAAAATGATACGATTTACTGCCTTTTTCTGTTTCATGCCACTCTGAGTTTAAGATATTTGGGTTTTAAGCTGATTGACAGACAAACTAAAGCAATTTTAAGTTGTCTCTTTATGATCTGAGACACTGTGATTGGATTTTTAATGCTTTCACTAAGATAATATTATTATCAACCTAAAAAAATCAACACAATAATCAACGATGAGGACAGTCCTGTAATTTGTGCACTCAGTCAGGTCTGTGCTGCTAAAATCAACACACAGCTCTGCAGAGATTCAGGTCAATACAAGGAAAGCACAAAATCAAATCCTCCCTGAAGATGGACGCACCTCCTTCGGCACCTGCAGAGACACAGAGGACATCACACATCTAATCAGCTCCTGAATGTTCTTGTTTAAGGAAAGCTGAGGTTTGTGGTGTCTCATGATCACTACCTCATAGATGGAAAACCCAATGGTGAGGAATCGGGCCCCTTGATGTCGCTGCATCCTCCGTCCTTTCTGCATCAGAGCCACCACGACGGTGCAGGCCACCTTCTCATCCTCCGGGTCGTCGTCCTCCTCGTACAGCTGCAGCCGATACTGAGGGTTTGTCCAGAACGTGTCTGCCAAACACAGAAAGTCAATCTGCTCATACTGGCATCATATGACGGGAACCTAAATAATATAACGTGAGACTTAAGTCAAGTCCTACCTGGGAAGTTCCTGCAGCCGCCTGCAGAGCTTCCTCTCACCCAGCGACCCTCGTTGACCGACACCGTCCAGCTGTGTCTGTGCTCTCCCTGCAGCGCGTCGGGCGTCAGGTTGCACATCTCCAGCTTGGTGAAGTTCTTCTTGAAATCGTCAAAGGACATCCTGGAGGAGGGGGTTATGACAGATAATGTTTGTAGGAGGAAAAACCTTGGAATCATTGTCTGCGGCTGCTTTTTCAGGCTGCCGCTGATGCTCAACATTATCCCACAATGCAATGCGTGAAGGAGACTGAAACTGTAGCACTGAATCTTAGGAAACACGTTCTGCTGTTTGGTTTATCTGACAGTGGCTCAGAAGTTACAGTCGGTTTGACACTCGATGCCTCGATGCAGTTTCTTGTCAGGATGAAATGCTAAAGATTGAAGATTTATTTTGCTGATAAAACTATAACAACAGGTTTGTAGCATAAACTGTGCAGCATTAATACGTAGTAAGGATTTGGGGCAGAGCTAAAGCGAGCTGAGACAAGCTCAAGGCCCCATGAGGCTACAAAGCTCTTTGCACTGATAACAGAATTGTTGAGTGGATGAGACGTGGATTTTTATCAGTAGCAGGGTCAAGTGGCTGAGTGTGATGGTGGAGGGAAAGGTATTTTCTATACAGAGACTATTAAAAACATCAATTTAATATCGTCTAAAATCAGGGTTTTTACTATAACATGTAGCATCTGTTCATTCAAATGTTGTGGAGAACTTTACTGTGCATCAAACACACCAATAAATACGACCGTGATGGTGTTAAAATGTAGCAGGAAACACGCAGTAAAGTCAAAGTGCCAATAAATCGACTCACCAGAACTCACTCGTCTCTACGGTCTGTTTTTTCAGGTTGTCCTTGTCTGCAGCAGAAATGGTCGACCACTCATTGGAGCTATGGACAGATCAAACAACGTTAATACGTCCTAAACAAAGAAAACATTTCACAGGATTAGAGGCTCTCAATCTTTTACAAAATGGGAGTTTTAATATGTTGGTAGATACAGAAGAATCGAGCATCACCGGAATGCACATGAACAGGTGTTATCTGTAGATAATATGTGGGTAGGTGTGTTATCAGGACAAATACTTTCCAGGCCTTACTTTGCACTCCAGGGTCCCTTCCAGAGCACAAAACCCCAGGGATTACGCAGACGGATCAGACGAATTTTGGTGTCCTTTGACACCTCGTCACACTGCAAACAACAACAACAACCAACCCGCCGTTACTGGAAATGTCCTGCAAAGAGAATCTGCATTTGAGTGGACGTGTGACTGCACCTCTTCCAGGCCGATGATGGAGTAGGCATGACCCCTGACCAGGCCCTGCTCGGTCCGAGACTCCATCTCACTGGCGCTAAAAACCTGAAAGACACAAATTAAAGCAAAACATTTGTTGATCGTTTAAAGTGATTTCCTTAAAATTAGGTTCAAAGATGTGCAAGAGTGACGACTAAATCACACTTTATGCTTCAGTCTAGCTTCTCTTTGTGTGAATATTCTTGCACAGTAAAAAATAATCCTATTTGCATATTTTATATTTCAGTCCTTTATGCTGCTGTATGGCTTGTACACTAAAACCATCGTTGCTAATTTGCTTTCACATTGTTTTCTGCCACCACTGTGTGACTTTTCTGTGTTTTCTCACGTCTATGGAGCAGCCCATCAGCGAGCCTCTCTCCAGCGCCTTCCTCATGATCGTGTACAGCTCTTTGGGCGCCTCGGACAGCTCGAAGAACTCGGTAACTCCACCTGTGAAATCCTCCATGGCTTCCAAAGTGTTGCCCCCTTTCAGAGCCTCATAAGACCCGTGCAACCTGAGAGAGAGGTCAATCATTCTTGTCAGAGCGCTGACATGTTTGTTCTCCGAGACGTGGCCTTTTCACCGAGCCTGCAGCCGGTTTGGTAAACACCAGGACACAGGAGGTGTGTGCAGAGTTGGTGCGACTACACTGTAAAACATATACATCTGAATAAGACGTTTGGTTCAGGATTGGGGATTGAAATGGGTTCAAGAAAAAGCTGAGGTGTCAGAGGTTTCAGGAGTAAATCAGCAGTGATGACAGCAGAGTCATTCTCCTTCCTTCTGTCACTTTACAGATTCATTAAAACAAGTGCATTAAAAAAACACCTGAAATGATTTAATGTCAGACAAGAACCGAAGACAAAATGTTGAACTCGTTTCAGAGGTCGGATTGGAAATCTGAACCGGACTGAACGATGAGCAGGAGCACATGATTGAGTCCAGGAGACATTAATAGACTCTGCTTACTTGGCGTAAGCCTTTTCCAGAAGAGCGCTCCAGAACTCGTTCTTCCTGAAGGATTTGGTGAAAACCAGCTCGTTGTTGCAGGTGGGAAGGCGGTCGTCCACGACGACGTCGATCCATTCGCCATAACGCCAGAACTACAGGGACGGATGGATAGATAGATAGATAGATAGATAGATAGATAGATAGATAGATAGATAGATAGATGGAAAATATATGAATTTATGACTTTTTCTTTCAAAAAATGACCAATAAATCTGATTGCTGTCTTGTAGAAAATGCAAAATGTCAAAAATGTATTTAAATTAGGATGTATTTTCTGATCACTGTCATCAAGAATAAAATTTTTCATCAGACAGACAATAGTGAATTTATCAAAGCTATTATTTCAGTTATCTAATGGCACATGTGATTTTCAGACATTTCACTGGCATCAGACCAAAACTATGCAATAAATGTGATGAATTTGGACATTTTAAAACATATTTCACACATGAAAACACTGTGACACTGATACTGTCACATAATTAGATGTAATCTGATCTGTCCTGAGTCATTAAAAGCATCAGCAGAAAGTTACTCTGATTTTCAGGTACTTGTACTTTAAAGTTAAAAATACTGAGCAATAATTATAACAAATCATATATAGTTTGATTCTACTCGTAGTAAAATTAGCTTTGTTGAAGAATAAATTCACAGATCACGACATTTCCTGTGTTTTTTTTTTTATGGAACCATGTCTGAAACCTGGAAGTGGAAGATGCCGGCGTAGTTTTCGGTGAAGCTCTGGTCCTGAGGAATCACTCTGTACAGCAGCTTCTCGTTCAGCGTCAGGCAGGCGATGGCAGCCAGCAGCCAGCAGTCACCTGTCAGCAGACACCAGTGATGAAAACATTTCATGCAGGAATAACACCTCACAGAGGAAGCTGCTGGCTGTCACAGATTAAAGCCACAAGCGGTCGGCCAGATAACCGAGGCTGCTGGTTGGTTGAGCTGTCAGAGTGTTTCATAGCTTCGGTCTCAAAGCTTCGGCTTCGATCGATGTTCTGATTGATCTTTTCTTATCTTTGCTCCTCAGCAGGACTGTTTCTGATATAAAACTGATCTTTTGCTGAAATATGTCTTTGTGTACCACTGAAAACTTTAACAGCTCTGATTTTTCTCCACGCTCACAAAAACCCCTCTCTGTACATTGTTTACTCAAAAACTAACGTTACCTATGACCTCAGATTTTACACATTTTACTGACTAACATCCATCCATCCATCCATCCATCCATCCATCCATCATCTCTACTCCTTAATCCTCACTAGGGTCATGGGGGGTCTATCCCAGCTGACTCAGGGTGAAGGCAGGTTCACCTGGACAGGTAACCAGTCTATCACAGGGCTACACTTAGAGACAGACAACCAAGCACACTCACATTCACACCTACGGACAATTTACAATCACCAATTAACCTCAGCATGTTTCTGGACCTTGTGGGAGGAAGCCGGGAGTGTCGCCCTGTGATAGGCTGGTGACCTGCAACCCCTAGTGAGGACTATGGATGGATGGATGGATGTGAATTGAAGCATAATGATCCTGTATCATCTTCTTAGAAGTTTGCTTCTTGTGCACAGAAGCACTTTAGACGTTACCCAGTTTTCCTTGACAGATGTCCGTCCTGTTGGCTCCGTCTACGATGAACTGGGGGTTTTCACAAATTTCCTAGAAGACAAAAAGGGGTTGGGGGGTTTTTTGGGCTTTTGTTAAGTTGTTTTTTTTCCCCCTCTTATTATGCAATGATTGATGCACATCTACACCAAGGGAAAAGCCACAAGTTTAACAGTATTTTCAGTTCCTCTTGATGCCCGGTGAGGCTGCAGCCTGATGAGGTCGTTCAGTTTAAACAGTCAGTGATTATCTGAAGAGCTTCACTGGAAACAAACTGGACTGATTATAAAGGCTTTACTGGGGATTCAAGTTTGAACCTTCTTGTATGAAAGTCAAATTGTTTGACATGTGAGGACTCTGGGATATCGTGGGAAGGAAATGACCAAAGTATTATTTTGGTCGACAGTCAAACCTCTCACCAATTTAAAATCTAAGAATCTGCTCTTGACATGATGGACACTGTGACCCGACTCGACCCTGAAACTGAAAGCCAGTTGGACAAATGTCTGGTCGGGGAACGAGTCCGTGAAACCCGCCCCCCGTCTGCATTTACTACATATTTAGGAGGAAGCAGCTGCCGGAGGTCCTCTGGTCACGACCTCTGGAGTCGTCTGAACGAGTGATAACGTCGTGCTGAACGCAGAGAAGAATCTCACCTCGTAACTGCGTATTTCTGTTATGGCACCGTGATTAACTGCTGCTGTGGTCGACTACTGTGAGCCTGGAACACATTCAGCCCACAGATCACAATGAAAGGATCATTTTGCTGGTTTTGTTTTGTGGAGTGCTGCCAAGTTTACCCTTAAATAGAATAAATACATTTCAAAACTTAAATATTCTGACAGCTGGAGCCTCAAAAAATACATTTTTTGTCTTAATTTTACAGGAGATTATTGTAAATATAATATATTTGCTGCAATAAACTGGGATTTAACAGTTTCATCTATTAAACAAAAAGGAAATATTTGTGAAATAAAGATAATTTGTATTTTAGCTTTTTAAATAAAAAAAATAATTTAAAAATGTGGTTATTTAAAGTTACAGCTTTTTAATGTTATTTTTTTACATTTAAATTTAGCCTATTTTTTATAATCGCACTGATCTTTTCTTGTATTTCTAGAACACATGAAATAAAATCTTTAAAATTACCTTCTCTTTTTTTTTTACAGTAAGAAAAAACAGATACTATCCTCCACCTATGAATAAGAACACAAGATTTTGATTATTTCCGGATTTCTCTTCTTTTTTCTCCTATAAAATATGGCAAACATTCAACATATTAAGCAAAAAAAATCCCAATTTAATTCACAGTTCACAAACAAAACCAAGACAATACACACAAAGAGGGTTTCATGCTAATCAGTGAGAACCAGAACTCTGTAGAACCTTTCTGAACCCTTTTGGACAAGAAACTCAGAATCATCAAGTCAGCATCAACACAGATTTTTTCTAACTTCTTTTAGCTGTAAATTCCACTTTGTAAACAAGATATAAAAGGAAATCATCTTCAGGGATCCACAGCAGCGACTCTGTTCCTCTGGTTTCCCTGCTGATCAGAGCCGAGGCTGTAAAGATGCAGACTCATGTTCCTGATTTAGAGGCGCTGCACTGCTGACCTCTGGATGGGATTCATGTGTCACTAATCTCAGCTCAATGTCTCCGCCGACATTTGTCATCTGCCATTAAGCAGAAATCCTCCTCAAAGATTTATGTCATGCTGGACTCACACAGCAGAAATGTGAAAATGAAGTCACTTTCTGATTTGTCGTTTGTGTTTTCTATCATAAAAACACATTGATTAATTCATTTAAAAAGTCGTTTGGAGTTAATGTGTGCTTTTCTAAATCGATAAGTTAAACTATGACTGAATGGAGGACTGACATTAGAATTAAAGTTCATGTTGTTCGCATTCTAAGGTAATAATATGTATATTATAGAATATTTCACTTGTGAAAACACTGACATTCACTCTGGAACTTGTTTGTCAGGTTGTTGTTTTTTGTTTTTACCATTTCGCCAAATTAAATCTACCCCAACATTACGAAAATTACGTCTGAGCCGAGGAGATGGAGGGAAAGGAAGTAAACCTAGTAGGTCAACAACCATCTGTCCAAAAGGTAACACAATCCAGCCACCAGCTCGTCACTTAGCCCGTTAAATCTCATGGGTTTAATCAGCAGTGTACATGTTGTGCTAAGCTAAGCTAAGCTAACTGACCGACGCCTGTAGCTTCACATGAACCAGACACACGTGTGTCATGAGTCCCATCAAACAAAGAAAGCACATTATTCTGTTAGCATGAGACTCTGCTGCAGGTCAATTTTCTATACATTTAGATTCAAACTAGATTCAACAGCAGGACACAAAGAATAAAATCTTTGTTCCAATGCTGCTGCTTCCAGGATAAGTTCATGCATCAACACAATAACACTATAAGACAAGGTTCACTTTGCATTTTAAGTGCTTTGAATATAAATCTATTACACAAAAGTACAGAAGTGGAATTACTGGCAAAAGACTCAAAGATGAGTAAATTACAGTTTATTTTCTATAATAAATACTATTGCAGGTTTTAACCTTAATATTGAAATTATTCAGGTAAATTTGTACAGGATATAATATTGTTAATCCTAATATTTAAATTAATTAGGTGCATTTATATAACATACATATAAAAATGTGTGACCTTAATTGTAATATTTGAAATTAATCAGGTACATTTGTATGATATAGATGTTGTATGATATATAATATTAGAAATGTAAATTATATGTAATATTGTAAGGTCCTAACCTTAATATTTAATTCAACTGTATTTAGTAAAAAAATATTTAGTATTTTATTTAGTTCATTCTATTAAATTTTATTTAATATATTTTCTTTTTAATATTCTAAAATCTGTATTTTATAGAATATTGCAGCGCTCAAATGTTAGTATTTAAATTAGTCAAAAAATGTATATAATAAATAATATCACTGGGTCTTAACCCTGATAAGAAAAAACCTTAGACTTTGAATAATCATATATATATCTAATGTTGTACAGTCCCAATCTTAAAGTTAAAATAGTTCAGAAAATACACAAAATATATAAATTATCTTAAATTTGTGTTTTGTATCATATCGTTAGGTCCTAACCTTAATGTGTGTGTTAATCAGGTACACGTGTATAAAACATAATTATTGAAAAACTCTCTGGATCCTGTTTTTAATGTGCTGTATAAATAACAGTGACTTCAGCTTCAGTCAGGTCAGATTTTGAACACACAGCTTTGACTTGCTGGTGTATTTTACATGGTGTTGCTGCGTGTTGGCCAACAGTAGGACCACGTCTGCCCTGCTGCTGTCACTGAGTGTTTATATCTGTGTCAGTGTGTTGGTTGATCCGGTGACTCGAATACTCGCTTCACGAAGCTGACTTCTGCCAAACGTCCCATTAATGGCATTAGAGCCGCATGTCTGACCTGTTTGCTGTCGTATAATAAATCCTTCTGGAAGCGTGTAGCAAAGAAAAAAACCACCCTGAATCCAACGCTGAGTGTGTTTCCCAGCAGTGTTAAAGAGCATCCCCCTGTGTGTGTGAGAGTCAGCTGTCTGAGAGTGAAGAAGGTGTGAACCCACAGCTATGCACCACCTATGCAGCCGTATCAACCCGACACCCGACCATGTGTTCTGGAGGCAGTGATGAGCTACACGGGGCTTTCAGAGAAGAGCCTCTGTAAACACGTTAAAGCCTCTCTTGCATTAAGCGCATCTTGGAACCGAAAGCACATGATGACAAAACGCTGGCACTCACCGAGGGCCGCTTCCACTCGAACTTCATCGAAGGTTTGTTGCTGTAGAAGAGCGTCGAGTCATCTGCGGGAAACAGCGGGTCTTCAAACACCACCTTCTTCTTCACGTATTTGTCTCGCAGCTCCAGGAAGGTCTTGAGGCGCTTGGCGTCTTTGACGGCCTCATTTCTGCTCAGAATTGCAGAGTAGATGGAGTTTGCCCCGGCGGGAGGGTAGTCGGCTCTGGCGTCGGGCCCCAGTGATGCTTGGGTCTCAAACAGCACCTTCACCTTGGTTTCTTCAACGAGAGGCACTTGGCCGTTTAGGTTCTGGTCGCCCATGCTGTCGGTGAACTCCTCAGCCTCTGGTGTGACTAACCAACTCTGGAGTCCTTCTTTCTTTTGCAAAAACAGTGCATAAAGTTGCAAAACAGCCCAATGAAACTTCCTGTACCCTCCCTGACTTTGATTCTTGCTTTTAGTTCCTTTATTTGCTTCTGCTGCTGCTCACCAGCCAGACGCTCCCACCACCACCACCGCTCACTGCTGAGTCCCCAGAGCCGCCTGCACCTAAATATAGGTCTTTCTAAAGGCGGGGAGGGGGCTTCTCAAAGGGAAACCAACGCTCTTGGACAGTTCAAAACCTGTATCATAGATCCATAAGAACACAGTACAGTCAATATTCACTCAGGCAACATTTTCTGAGGGATCTAACGTGAGAAATACGGCTGTGAAGGTCAAGAAAAGAAGTGATCCATGTGGTTATGTCACTTTTATTTGAACTAAATATGAATTAATAGCACACACAGCTGATCATTCCTTACCAGATCTTTATATTTACTCTGGTTAAACATCTTTATATAACAGACTAGTAGGCATGACCAGGTGGTTTATATAATGACATCCTACATAATTAATGTCATGATTTAAGCCCAGTTCTAATATTTTAGATTGAATATCTTAACATTTGACTTATTATGTGGGAAAAATAAACACAAATGGGATTTGAAAATTAAGCATTTTCCAACAAAATCACACATCTATTAGCTTCACTTTGTAATTTCTATAAATACACCCAGTGATTGAGGGACTGTGCTGGATTCTTCTGACCCAGCGTCCATGAGCTCAGCTATATTGACACCTAGTGGCTAAACAAACATTAATGTCCTCGTCAATGGCTCGTTGTGCCTGATTCAACCAACCATTCATCATAATTCAATCAGCAGTTGGCCTAATTCTCCGTCAGCAAATAAAAAAGGGGGAGGCTGTTGAGCGCTGGGTTGCCAGGTTTGACAGAAAACTGCAGTCTTCATTCAATTTCAATCAGTCACCTCTGGGCGTGGTGGGGGAAAATTGTCATTTCTGATTAAGGAGAGAAATAATGAGACCAAACAGTGAACGAGAAATGAGACTTGGGTAAAATGATAAG